CGGTGCATGTTAGCACCTCTTCAGCACAGAGTCTTAGTTGCTAGTGCACTTAGAGATTACGTGACTTGCCCAGGTCACATAGCCATCTTATGTGCCCAGTTTTTCCCGTTTCCATGGCTGTCTTTCTGTCCACCACACCAGACTGCCTCCTATCAAATGATCGAAAGGGGATGTGAGGAGGGAGGAGTCTTCCTCTCCATTTCACCGTGGCTCTCCGTCTCAAATGGAAACATTGCAGTTTTTAATTAGGTGCTTTGGAACGGGCGGTTCTCCCATGTTAGAGGCCGCCAGTATATACCATACTGTTGTTGCTGCGTTGATAGCTGTTGCTAGTTGTGAATTGATGGAATTACCAAGAAAACATCCCAGAGTCACCTAGGAAACATCCCCAGCATAATTTGCCTTTTCCCTCCCTCCGTCTCCCGAGCAGTCTGAAGTTTTGTAAAATGTTGTTAAACAAGATCAGGGTGAGGGGCGGGGAGAGAAGAAATTGCATGAAGATGTAAAGGGCGTGAGAAGGTTCTGGCCTCTCCCTACTGAGATCACGTAGCATCACCTAAAGAATTTTCTCATCGTTTGGGTGGAGTCAGTTCCCTAAAATCACATTGGAGGAAGAGCCGCGGCAATAAGATAAACAAGTAATGAGGAAGGCATCACGCACAGCGAGAACTGGACGTGAATTACAGCTTCTCCTCTAGGGCCTCGTTAGGGGATGGAGCTGACCTGGGCCCTGCGCAAGGGCAAGCTCTGCCAGGCCAGACCTGCCAGGCCTGGAAAGGCTTTGAGGACGTGCCGAGGATGGACCTTGTGTCTTTCTCCTGAGGACTGGCCCAGTGACGTGTGGAGAGGCTGATCACCAGGGGACTGGATACCATGTGGTTCATTGTTTGTCAGCCGAGGCAGCTCATTAAGAGCCTTGTCTTGAGGCATCGAGGTGCTCAGATTAGCTTGGGCATGACATTGACAAAATGACACGTCTTTGAAGTTTTGAAGTGTTAGGACATAAAGTGGACTCTAGCCTCCCTTTGGAGCAGCCCGGGCCCTCTGGGCCTGTCTGGAGGTATCTGTCTGTCATGGTTCTGGCCATAAAGTGGCCGTGTAACCTGGACCAACATACTAAATCTCTAGGCCTCCATTTTTTCCTCTGTCAAGTAGTGGAGTTGGTTGAATAGATGGTTCTTAAGATATTTTTCAGTTGGAGATTTGATCCTCTGGCCCGCACATGTGTGAAGCCCACACCTAGAGGAGCAGCATAGCACTGGTGGCCGGTATGAAGAAATACTAGTTCATGGGCTCATTGGAGCTCTATAGAAGCTGCAAAACCGTCTGCATCCACGTCTTTCTTTTTGCCCCCTTTCTCTAAGAACCTTATTTTCTTGCCAAGAAACAGCAAGACCACAGAATTGTGTACCTCTGTTTCTGCACAGAGAGGATTTGGCTTGGTATTCTTTTGAAGAAAGGATCAGCATCATTTTGGGAGGCCAACTTAGCAGGATTCTTCTATTACTTTCATTCTTCTCGTTATTAAAGGACCCACACTTAAGCAGGATGTGAAGAGATGCTATTCCTTAACTCTCACATCCAGCTATGAGTAAGGTCTGAGTGGAGCGTGGTCTGGTGGTGGGTAGCACACCTGTGGTCCCTGCTGCTGGCAAGAATGAGGCAGCTAGATCCCTTGAGCTCAGCGTTCTGGAGAGCTGAGGCCCAGTAGGTGTTCACACTTAAGCCGGGCCCCAATTTGATGGGCCACCAGCCTGCCGAAGAAGGGGCAGACCCACTCAAGTTGGAAGAATGGAGTAGGCTGAAGTTTCTGTGCAGTTGTCCCAGGCTTGGGCCCATAAGTGGCCACTGTACTTCCAGCCTGGGCGGGAAGGGAAGAGATCCAGGCTCCAAAACAGAAATGGAGTGGAGGTAGATACTGCCATCCTAGTCAGATAAAGTCACTACCTAGGCTGAGAGAGGCCTTGAATAACTGTGGATTTTTCTTTCTAGATTTCATTCATTCAGCAGATGTTAACTAATTGTTCTGATTGCTCATTAAACCTGTGTAATGTACTCTATGTTAACTCCAGAAGAGATGCAGAGGTAAATAAGACAGTCTCAGCCCTCCAGGAGTTGGTAATTTAGTCAGCATTAAAGAGCCTGTGGACAGATTAGTGCAATGGAAGAAGTGCCTAAGAGTGGTACTGGTTACCATGAGGTCATAGGAGAGAGAGAGAGAGAGAGAGAGAGAGAGAGAGAGAGAGAGAGAGAACTCATTTCCTCCTTCACTGCTGTCTCATGTGGTGTCTTGACCTTGTTCCTTACCAAGGCTACCCCTCTACTTGTTCAAATGATCCATTCCATCCTGTCTCCTCCAACAGAGTGCCCTCTCTGTCATCCCCACTCTTTCCCTTATTTTCAGTGTCTCCCTGTCTCTGGGCTCATTTCTGCTGCCTACAAACATGCCCATGTCTTCCCTGTCCTGAAAAATCCCTCACTTGAAGCTTCCATCCTTACTGTCATCCTGTCGCTCTTCTGCCCTTTGTAGTTAAAGTCCTCATTTGACAGATGCCCTTACGTTCTTTTTTCCTGTTCTCGTCTTAACCCCTTATAATCTAGTTTCCGACCTTATCATTCCACTGAAACATCGCGCACGAGCAAGAACTGGAGGTGAGTTACCAAAGTTACCAGGGATCTCTTAGTTTTCAAATCCAGAGGCCTTTCCCAATCCTCATTCTCTTTGACTTCTCTGCAGCCTTTGACATTGCTGGTCACTCTCTCCCTCTTGATATTCTCTTCTCTCTAGGTTTTTAGGATAGCATTGGTTCTTGTCCTACCTTCTCTGACCACTCCCTATCATGCTCTCTAACCACAGGTCCCCTCCAGGTTCTGTGCTGGGCCCTCTTCTCTTCTACTTCTATACTACTTCACTTTTTGATCTCATCAGCTCCCTGGAATTTAATTACCATCTCTATTTAATTACCATAGTCTAATGAGTCTCCAATCTATATATCCTGCCTGAATCTCTGCCGACCTCCATCTGCCTTTCAGACATCTTGAACTAGATGTCCAATAAACAGCTTCAGTTCATTGTTTCTAAAATGGAATTCATCTTTTCCTCTATATCCTCCTTCCAGGAGTCATCCTGGCTCCTCATATCTCTTATCCCCTATATCCAAGCTGTTCCAAGACCTGTCGATTTCACCTTTGCAGCATCTCTCCAATATGCCCCTTCTGTCCTCTGACACTGCTACCGTTGTGGTGCAGACCGTTATCACCTTGCACTTGGAGTATTGGAGTAGCAGCTGGGGTCCACCATCCTCAGGTCTCTCGCCACTACAGTCCATTCTCCAATCAGCCACTAGAGTGATTTTCCTAAATCAGAAGGTGTGATTATGCTACCCCTCTACTTAATCCACTCCAGTGGCTCCCTGTCACTTCCAGGATCAAATACAAAATGCTGTTTGTGTCCAAAGCCTTTCGTTACCTGACCCCTCCTACCTTTCCGGTCTTCTTACACCTTACCCTCCCCTCCCCCAACATGCATTCTTCTTCCATCCAGTGACACTGGCCTCCTGGTTGTTTCTCAAACAGGACCCTCCATCTTTTGGCTCCTGTCATTTCCTCTGCCTGTCCTCTGTGCCTGGAACCGTCTTCCTTCTCTGCTCCGACTGCTGACCTCCCTAACTTCCTTTAGGTCACAACTAAAATCCCCTCTTTTACTGGGAGCCTTCACTAACCCCTCTAGGTTATTTCTTATTGTTCCTGAATAGCTTGCTTTGTATACGTTTGCCCTCCTTGGACTGTAAGCTCCTTGAGGGCAGGCACTTGTCTTTTGCCTCTTTTTGAATCCTCAGCACTTAGCACAGTGCCTGGCACATAGTTAGCTCTTAATAAGGATTGATTGATTGATTGATTGACTGGAGCTGGCAGTTGCATTGGACCTTGATGGATGAGTAGGATCTTGTTAATCCGTCACAGTGTGGCCATCTCTCAGTACTTGGCATGGAACTCATCCCCCAGATTTTGATCCTAGGTTGGCTTCTCCCAGCCTCCTAGCAAGGCACCTGTTGTCCAATCTGTGTACACTTAAATGGTGCAAATTATTTTCATATCCATTAAAGCAAAACATAACCAGGGTTGGATAGGAACCATAGAAAGTCATATTTTTCAGTTATCTGTTGCTTTGGATTATTTGCATCATGGGTTCTGTCCAGCCTTACAGATAATTGATAGCAGACCATTGATGATTTGGAAACTCAGGAATAATAACTCCCCCAGTTTTATTTTCTTTTGGAATAACACTCAAGCTTTGGCTTTGACCACAGAAGGCTGGAAACTCTACTTCTATCATTTTGGGTAGAGAGCTGTGCTTGGTATATGTTATGGTTCTGTACGAGATGAACAAGGGTACAAGATGTTGTTGGAAGTGCACTAGGAGCGAGTGTGCCGTGTGGAGCATCTGCTGCTGCAGGTTCTCAGACTAGAAGAGAATACGTTCAAAGACAGTGTGATGGCACAGATAGGGTCTTAGTCTGTACAAAGGATCCATTCAGAGACCTGTTTCTCTGTCATTTCAAGTTTTAGAAAATTCGTATGATGGATTGACGTAATTCCCATGAGAAGGGCCAGGGTAGCTGACAGACAGATGGGATTCCCCAGTTGGATCTGCCCCAAAAAAACAGCATTTAAATTCTCTAAGTGGATGTACTTTTGTTGAAGATGAAGATGGTGTTCCAAACTTGAGTAACAAGATGAGAGAAGGCATGGGCCTTGTACATGGATGTCTGGGCTCAGAGCAGCATGTGCTCTTATGTCATGCCTTGACAATTCCACACCCTACTGCACTCGGACAAGCCAGGCAGATTCCTTTAGGAACCAGGTGAAATTCCTAAGGTTTCATACTCCTTCTCCTCCCCCTACCTCATCTCTACCAACTCTAAAACCACAGCACCTTGCAGCTTTCCCCCTGCCTGGCTCCAGCACTCACAACTCTTCCTCTGTGCTCCCTTTTCCAGATGCAGTGGCAAAATGTTGAGCACGTTGGTGACCAGAGTCCATACGTCACCTCTGTGATTCTTCACATAAAGCAGAATGTCCCCATCATCCGAGACAACCTGGCCTCCACACGCAAGTACTTCACTCAGTTCTGCATCAAATTTGCAAAGTAAGTTTGGGATTTTTCTTTCCACTGCTTTCTTAAGAAAACCATTTTCTTTTTACCATTTTACCTTTTCTTTTTTCTTTTCTTTTCTTTTCTTTTCTTTTCTTTTCTTTTCTTTTCTTTTCTTTGCTTTGCTTTGCTTTGCTTTGCTTTGCTTTGCTTTTCTTTTCTGCTTCTTTTTCTTTTGGCTAGGCAATAGAGTTAAGTGACTTGCTCAGGATCACAAAGCTAGTAAGTGTTATGTGTCTGAGGCCAGATTTGAATTCAGGTCCTCCTGACTCCAAGGCCAGAGCTCTATCCACTGAGCCACCTAGCTGCCCCCCATTTTACCTTTTCTTAAGAAAAAAGGTAGAGTGCTTTCCATTGTCTGATTGTGACCCAGTTCCCTGTGGACCTTCCCTGGCCATTTTGTTAAGCCAGGTCTGTCCTCCAGCACAGCACTTCTCCAACCCCATTTGGCAATAGAAAAAAGGTTTCTGAACTTGCAGCAACCACAACTTAGTTAAAAATCAAACGCATAATGAGTCTGAGGTGTTTCTGGTGGCACTTGCCCATGTTGCCTCTCGAGACTTCACTGAACCTTGGTGCTGAACGCAAAGCATGCGCACTTTGCACTCTTGACCCGTTCTTCCTGGTGCACCCCAAGGCACACTCCAGGAAGGCTGACTTACTTCCGTGTTAGTCTAAGAAGAGCATCACTAGAGTCAGTATGGCCTTTAAAGAGCAGAGAATATCACAAAGCCAAATGGAAGTGATTTGGGAGTCAGCAGCAGCGAGATGGCAGAGGATAGAGCGCTAGCCCTGGAGTCAGGGAGACCTGAGTTCAAATTTCAAAACATATAGTAGCTCCGTGTCCCTAGGCAAGTCATTTACCCTCTCTGTGCCTCAGTTTCCTCAGCTGTAAAATGAGGATCCTGCTATCACCTGCCTCCCAGGTTTGTTGTGAGGATCAAATGAGATATTTGTAAAGTGCTTTGCAAACCTTCAAGTGCTATATAGATGCTGCTGTTGTTATGATCTGAGGTTTTGTCTGAACCACACCAGTCTCTTGGTGTGCATAGTCAAGAACTTTCTTTAGTCATTTTTTGTGGTATTTTGTCTCCTCAACTATATTAGAAACTCTTCTAGAACAGAGGCCGGAGCTTCTGTCTCCGGGGCTCTTAACATAGAGGCCGTGGACCAGTCTAAATAGATTTCAGGGAGTCTATGAGCCTGGATCTGAAAAGAGTGACACCTTTATTTCCCCCAACCCTGGTGTTTGATTTCCTTTATTGTCCTGTGTATTGTATGTACGCATTTACAAACACTGCTCTGAGAAGGGGTTCCTGGGCGTCTCCAGGCCGCTGCCCAAAGCATGCAGTACACACACAAGGTTAAGAACCTCTAGTCTCTCTCCTGGTTTTGTACCTTCTGCCTCCTCGGTGCCTGCTGTGTATTTGGAGCTCTTAAAAATGTTGTGGATAGACTGAATGCATCCTTGTTTCCCAGGAGGTGTGGTATAGTGGAAGAGCCCCAGATCATAGGATAGTGGCTCGATCACTCCTCCACCCAGCATTTATCACAAGCACCTGCCAAGAGCTGGGGCTACAAAGAAGGGCAAGAAAAGCCAGTCCTGCCTCTGGTGCTTCTTGCTCATTCGATGCTAAGCAAGTGCCTTCACCTCCCCGTGCCTCAGTTTCCTCGCCTGTAAAATGAGGTGGTCTCTGAGGTCCCTTCCAGCTGAGGATCCGTGACCCTGGAATCCTAAGACATTTATTGTGCCCGATCGAGATGCCCGGCTATGGCACATGATACAAAGTCAAACGCTAATAGGCAATGACGTATGTGCCTCATAAGTGGGTGAAGACAGCTGCAGTGGGGAAGGCCCAGGGCAAGTGCCGGTGGACAGGTCCCTGAGGTCTCCAGGAACTTGTGCACAGCTTTCTCCAAGCATGAGTTTGAACATAGGAATGTTGGCGCCTTGAAGTAATAGGCGCTTTGCTGCCTGACTCCAGCCTGGTCTTCCAGACTTCTGGCTTCCCCTGAGAATGTGCCAGTTCCAGTACATAAAACAGGCCTTCTTAACCTGAGCTTCCCCCACTGGGACTGTGGATACATTGGGGGGGGGGGCGAGTGGGAGGGGGGCGGGGGTGAACTTGGATGGGAAAAATGATCGCATTTATTTTCACTAACCTCCAACTGAAATTTAGCATTTCCTTCAGTGATGAGTGAAGATAAACATTCTTGTGAGAAGGGGTCTGGTCCACATGCATCCCCAGACTGCCAGAGGATTCTGTGGCACAGAAAAAGTGCTGAGCTCCTGTCCGAGAGTCAGGTAGCTCTGAGCAGCCGAGTAGCATGCAGGCCTTTGAGTCAGGGACAGCTCCAGCAGGGTCCTCCAGGGCTGACTGACACTGCCGTGAGCTCCCCAGGGACGAGGCACGCACCTGCACCTCGCCTGCAGATTTCTCTCCCAGTTTGTACTCAGTTAAGGCTTTGAGGTTATTTTTTGCCCTGCTTTTCTCAACAACAAATCTTTAAGGAATAACAAGGATGGGCTGGGTTTTACAGTCAACTTTGGTTCTAGTTTATCAGGAAAAGGATATGGTGGGATCTGCAGCGGGCGTTAACGTTTGCACTGTGGCAAATGAGCTAAGAGCCAACATTCCGTCTTCTCGCTCTGGGTGCTCATTAGTTTGTGTTAAGAGCACTGCCTGATAAATCATATGCTGACGCTCCCCATAATCACTGTTAGAAATTCTGTCTCAGTGAAAATGTATAATGCTTAAAACCTCCTACGGGGACTGCACAGGGGCTTGCCTGCCTTAGTGAACGTAAAGAGATCACAGAAATCCATTTTCTCAGCTAGTCCCAGCACAAGTCTTAATGTCCTAGGGGTGCCACATCCCTTTAAATGTCCCATGAAGCCCCCACTGAGGTGGGGGATAAAAGCTCCTGCCTCTCAGAAAGGCCCCGTCTAAAGGGAGAACTCAGAAAGGTGTGACCTCGCACCCCTTGCAAAGCCGAGACAGTGTCTGCCGTGAGATGGGGCCCCCCGAGGCTGGGCAAGGCCAGCGCCTCCCCACTTGGCTCCTCCCTTCCTTCTGATGTCACCCTCACTCACCCCTGCAGTCTGTAATCAGAGATGTCACTCCTTGATCCGCAGCTTGCTTCCTTCTTCTAGCAACAATCAGACCACAAGGCCAAAGCTCTGGATCCTGAAGAGGCCGTCTGGTCTCATCTGTTTCAAGGAGGGGAACTGAGACTTACTGAGGTGAATTGACCTACCCAGGATCTTACAGGAAGCAAGCTTCAGTTAGAATTTTAATTCCAGTGGTCAGTGTTCGCACTCCCTGTGCTGAGCACGGCCTTCCTTCTTCCCCTCCTCCTTTAGCACCATCCTCTGGACACAGCTAAATGCTGCTGCAGCCTGGAGGAATTGGGAGGGATGGCTTTGGAAGTGAGTCTCCTGTACTCAGCATGACCAGACCAGAGGCGGGGGTCCTTCTGGGTTCTCCCTTTAGACTCCAGGCTGCTTTCATAGCGCTTCCTTTGGCATTTCTGCATCTGAGACCTATGACAGCTTCATCTGCAGACGGAGCTCAGGCCACTGTGCTGGGGACCTCTCCTGGAGTCTTCACCCATTTGTGAGGCTGCTCTCCCCCAGAGGTTCCTCTGGGCTGGACTTTGCATTTTTGACTTGCTTCTCTCAGGTCCAGTCTCCTGATAGAATGTAAGCTCTTTGAGGGCAGAGCCTTTCCTTTTATCTTTGTATCCCAAGCACTAGCATAGTGCCTCATGTAGGAGAGGTAATGTTTAATAATTAATAAATGTTTAGTTGAATTCAATTTTAAAATATAAACTTAATAACCATCAAAAACACATAACCCAAAAAACCCCAACTGCATGTAATCGAATGTAAGCAAAGGACCTGTGATTTTAGCAGTGAAGGTGTTCCCCACCTGTGTAAATTAAGTAGACGAGGTGACGTCACGTGGCAAGGCTCACACGGCAAGTGTCAGAGGTGGATTTTGAGGCTCGGCACCAGGCTACCCCTCTCGTTATCAAATAAACATAAAAAAATCTTACATAAAACTCACAGCGTTTCACAAAGGAAAACTGATCATATTAGGGGATGATCAACAGAAACCACATTTGTTCTGGGTCTCTCTCCAAATCCACCTGAAGTTCCCCAGTCTTTGGTTTTGTTTTCTGTTTTTATGTAATAACAGACGTGTATGCAATTCTGGTGCAGCTGATCTGTTGACTCCCCTTCCTGTGGGTCTGAGGAATGAGGACAAGGGTGGACAGTTCTCTAACCCAAGAGACATTTGCTGATGTGTTGACCTCTTTTCACAGCTCCTTCATTCCCAAGTTCATCAACCATCTCTTCAAGTGCAAGCCAGTTAGCATGGTGGGAGCAGAACAGGTGAGGCAAACACTGGCTTGTGACATGCTCCAAAACCACTGGGTGACGAGTCCACGCCAGTGATGTCGAGGGTAACAAGGATTCTTGTTGGAATGTTCTTCTAGCGTGTGCTGACTGGCTGCCTCCGATTAAAAGGAGACGAAGAAGGTCAAGGGGCCTTTATTAAAAGGCCTCCAAAGCTAGCGTGGTGGGCAGAGGTGGCTGCAGGTAGTTTCCTAAAGGACAAAGACCATTTTCATCCCTTGTAAAAATATAATTGCATAAAATAACCTTAGAAATTGTAGGCATATTCCACCTGACATTGTTTCTTCAAGAACACACTGTGAGGTGGGACAGTGTGACAGGTTTGTTCCTGCTTTATCATCCAGGTAACAGTAGCAGAGATGGGCGGTGTTATAGTGGAGGCTACTTATAAGGGGCTAACGAATGGGCTGCCCCTCAGGGAACCACCCCTCTTGTGGATTGGAGGCTCTTTGAGGGCAGGGCTGTTGTGTTTCTGCCTCTGTGCCCTCTCACCCAGCACACAATGCCTTGCCTTTAGTGGGCTCTTTATACACATTTGTCCAATTGAAACCTCATCGGACTGTGGTGACAGGTAAACTTCTCTTTTATGGGGAATGGAGATGCTCAGAAACTCTGCTGTCTTCCTCCAAGAAGCGCCACACATAAACCCCGTCCTCCCACGGGGTCCTTTGTGTCTTCTCACTCCTGATAGACTTGGTGCTCTCATCACCTGCTATTGGCTCTGCTTCTTTAGAATACGATGTGAATTTGAACAGGGCCTAGGTCCTTCTTTGTAATATGGTTCCAGGCAGAAGCAGGAATGGTCGAGTTGGAAGGAAGGGCCATTCCCGGGCCCCAGCCTTCCTCCTATCAGATTGTTCTAAACTAGGAAGCGTAGCTAGTGGCTGTGCAAGTTCTCTTTGTGGATTGTTTCATATGTGTGTTGTCTTTTCATAGCTGGGGTCTGAGATTTCTGAGAAGGCCTGTTAATGCCCCACAACATCTCCACCGTGCCCTGCCCTGGAGGTTCGCGAGCTAGTCATTGAAGTTAAAACATGATCCCAGCAAGTGTCCCGGGAGGTTACATTGAATCAGCCATTGACTGAGTCTCACTGACTCTTAAGATTTCCACCAGTGTTCTGAAATCCCTGACTCTTGCATATTTGACACAGAGAACTAATTCTTTCCATTGGAAATAGCAGAATAATGCCCCACCATGTTGTCTCCAGTTTCATTAGCATATGAATCTGGGGATTCTAGGCTGTTGAGTCTGCTCGCTTACTGTTGAATGCAATCAGAGATGACGCTGGGTGATTCCTGGACTCCTGTCCCCTTCAGCAGATCACACTCTGGTGTGATGTTTCTGACTCCAGACTTGCTGAGGCCACTGGAAACATAGGATAGATTCGCAGCAAAAAAATGCTGTTCATGTGTCTGCGGCTTTGCCAAGTCATTGTAGCTGACTTAAAGGATTTCTTGTCTGATAACCACAATCTTTTTGTTTTATTACATCAATCCAGTGCCTTGTCTGTTTTTCTCAGGTTTGTCTTCCCTCCTCCTCCTGTTCCTTCTTTTCTCTTTGCTTTCTCTGTCTCCCTTTTTTCCTCTCCTTCCCCTCTCCTTCCCTTCTCTCCCTTTGTCCTTTCTCTCCCGTCTGTCTCCCTCTCTGTCTTTCTCCTTTCTCCCTTCTCCCTGTCTCTACCCCAGCAAGATCGTTTGAATAATTCAGCACCAGAGTAAAGACATCCTGGTGTGGGTGAGGGATGTCAGTTTGATTAAGTAGCATGAACAGTCAGTTGTACTTTCACTCATAAATGAGAAAACTCTTCTTGAATCCTATTCCATTTTTTCTCAGATTGCAGTCATAGCTGTACTGGTGCTAGGGAGACCAGGTATCAGCAGGGGAATCAAGAGAAATGGGTGAGAAGCAGGGCAGTGGTCCCCTTTGCCATTCTCAGGACTCATTGCATCTGGCCCATACCTTTCCGGACAGTCCCCAGCCTTGGAAACCCAAGAGGGTGGGTGGCATAGCTTGAGCAGCCTGTGCTCGGGCAGTGGAGCTGAGGCAGGAGGTTCACAAAGGGAGACTCGGAGGCTAGAACAGATCCACACTGTTACGGGGAGGCGGTAACCCAAGCCGTAACAAAGGCCGTGAAATTCAAAGCTACGGCTCAGCCTAATCTCAGCCAGCTCTGCTGAGCCTGAACTCAGGATTCGCTGTGAAACTTGAGCCTCCATAGAAAAGGGAGAGCGGGCTTCTTTTGTGTTTCCTTGTCTGTGTTCTCTTCTTGGTCAGTGTTTAAAACGTTTGAGTTATTCACCTTTGAGCGCCTTCACTGACCTTGTGGACACCTTACAGAGGTGCGTGGAGCGCAGTTAGGGTTGGAGAGATTCACAGGAGTCTCACGCCCAGTAAGAATTCAGCAAATTCAGCAAACACTAATGAAATACCTACTGTGTGCCACATGCCATGTTTGTCTCTGGGGATAAAAGGACAAAAGTAAAACCAGTCATCGTAGATGAGAACTGGTGTGGACAAGGTGCATACAAAGTAGCCTAAGAGGGAGAAGGGGAGAGGGGGAGAACTAGAAAGTCCTTGAAAAGGTGGAGTTTGAACTGGATCTTGAAAGAAGCTGAGGTTTCTAAGACATAGAAGAGGAGGAAGTGCACACACTGCAGGTATGGGGAGAAGCCAATGCAAAGGTGTGGCGGTGGGAAATGGAATGTCCTCTGTGAGGAGCGGCAGTGCCCCAGCATGGCTGGACTGTAGCATATGTGCACAGGCATGACGTGGCAGAAGTCAGGTTCTGCCTGGGAAAAGAGCTCATACTTAATCGTAGAGGCAGTGGGGAGCCACTGAGTTTATTGAGGAGGAGGAGTAACATGATCAGAAATGTACTCTCTGAAAGCCTCTTTGGCAGCCTTGTGGAGGGTGCAGTGCATGGGGAGAGACTGGAGGCCTGGAGACCGATGAAGAAGGGACGACACTAATCCGGGTGAGGCGCATGGCTGACCCTCGTGGCGGCCGTGCAGAGAGATAAATGCGGGTGCGAGCCACAGAGCCAGAAATGATGAGATGTGGCACCTGATTGGATGTGGGGGGAGTGAGGGGACAAAGGTTGTCAGCCTCTGTGATAGGAGAAGAGAAAAGAGGGAAAGAAGAGAGGACAGGTCAGCAGAGAAGAGCATGCAACCAGTACAGGAGGGACGGGTAGGGAGTCTGCTGAGGGTCAAGGTGAGGATAAAAAAGAGGCTGAGAGGTGGTGGGGGAGAAATGGTGTGAGAAAAGACTGGGAGCAGATCATGGAATTTCAGTCATTGAATGCGGAAGTATGCAGGTGTGAGGGATGGGCTGTGACTGCTCCTGTGTGTGTAGCTGAAGTGGAGGTCATGGGAAATGTGCAGGCTGGGGAGCTGTCAGGGAGGGCGGTAGAGGGCACGTTGGTAGGAGAGTGAGACTGAGCCGGGGACTGAACTCACAGAGAAAGGAGAGGATGTGTCCTGGTCCCTATCAACTGACCACTGGGATCTGGACTGGGTGAAAACGTGGATACAGTGAACCTCAGAGGGAAGACGTTGCTGAGTAATGTCAGGAAAGAGTCTGGAAGTGACTGCGCCTGGCATGGAGTGTTTCTGACTCCCTCCCTGTGATTAGGGAGGGAGGCTGCAGCCAGGAATGAAGAGATGGCCAGAGATGCGGCGTCACCCCTGGGAACCAAGGTTTAATGAATGCCGGAGGTAGAGGTGAGGCAAGAGGAACGGGAAGGGACATGGATCAGGAGTGGGTATTGGTGGTGTGGAGTGGAGGTGGACAGAGAGTGGGCGACCCTGCGGGGCTGAGAGCCCTTCCTTGGCAGGAGAGGGTAAGGGCGGGGCTGAAGGATGCCACCCTTGGGAATGAGTCTAGGCAGTGAATCAGTAGGTGGGAGGAGCAGGAACCTTCGAAGATCCAAGGTCTCCGTGGCTCTTCGGGCAGGCCGTCGGTGTTGCTCAATCTTGAGGTGTCTGGAAGCAGGGCCAGGAGGCAGGTGGTGTTACTGTGTGTGGAGCAGGACTCTGGACGCCTGGCCCTCTGTGTTTGCCTTGAAGAAAGCGTGGTGGTGGGGTAGTTTGTGGGAGGAGGGCACCAGCAGCTAGGGGTTGGGGGGAGTCAGGAAAAGCTTCAGAGAGAGAGATTCAGGCCCTTGAGAGTTTCCAAGAGGCCAGAGGTGAGGAGAAGGTACCTCGGGGACGTGGGGAGGCCCAGGCTGCGGGCCCCCTGTGCTTGGTATAGCTACTCCCCAGATCTGAGGTCTTCATGACTCAACTCTGTGTCTGTGTATGCTGGCGCCAGAAGGAGCCTGCAGAACATCATGGTTTCCTCCAGCTGCCCTCTCTGCAGTTGAGACCCAGGAAGAAGCAGAAAAGGGAAAAGTGGCTGGGAGAACACAGGGGCAGGGGCCTAGGATCTCAGAAACACAGGGGGCTCCCAGGTGAGGAAATGCCCTTCTCTGGTCTGGGCCAGCCTTCTAGTCTTAGAGGACCAAGTGGGGAGGTAACTAACTCAGGGTCATACAGACAGTATAGGGCAGTGGCAGGATGCGGGTCCTGGCTCTGAGCCAGCTCACTGCTCCCTGAGGGCTGCCGAGAGCCAGGCATAGTGGTGCCTGCCTGTAAATCCCTGCTGCTGGTGAGGCGGGCCTGGAAGATCTCTCGGGCTCAGGAGTTCTGAGCTGCCGTGGGCTACGCCAGTGAGTGTTCAGCATCGTGGTGAGCCCCTGGGAGGCACAGAGAGGGCCAGGAGGGTGAGGTTGGAAGCGGCAGGTCCAAGCTCCCATGCTGGTCTCTGGTGGGCCTACACGTGCAGGCCAGGCGAGGTGAGGACACCATCTTTTAAAAAAAACAAGCCTAACAGCAGGGTGATGCCGATTGTCCTATAACATGAAGTTGTCCATTTGACTCTGATGTAGAGACCAGGCCTGCTTAGAGTTCAGCTGGGCAGCTCCGTAGCCACCAGCAGTGGCTGGGGCTGCCCTGGGACCTGGGCGCTGAGCTGGCCGGCTCCTCTCTTGTTCTTACAGCTGCTGCTAGATACCCATTCTCTGAAGATGGTCCTCCTGGATCTGCCTTCCATTGGCTCTCAGGTGGTGAGGAAAGCGCCTGCCAGTTACACCAAAATTGTCGTGAAGGGCATGACCCGGGCCGAGATGATCCTCAAGGTAACGGCGTGTTCCTCCCCGCCCTCATTTTCTGTTAGGCCTCTCGGCCTCGGGGCCTGGTGTAATGAGGCAGCCTTTGCTGAGAGGTCGGTGGTACAGCCAGCACTGATAGCATGTCTTGATGAGGTCATTGGTGGGAAAATCAGTGACCCGTTTAGTTTACAGCAAGTATTCCAGGCCCAGCGAACTGTTACCTGCTCCTTCACGATGCTGCTCTGCCAGCTACACCGGGGGACGGTGAAGTGATCCCGGAACAAATGTAGTAATTGAAGCTGGCCGTGAACGGCTTGTGTGTTGAGCTTTTAAAATTCCTTTGAAGCAAACTCTGGCTTCTTAGGAGAATGGCGTGAGACTGGAGCCTTGCCCGTCTGCCTCCCATCGACCACTGCTTGTGATTGGAGGAGAGGAGAGAGTTGAAGAAAACATGGTTAGTGGTTGTGATGGTTACAACCTCCCCCTCAACATTCCTGTGCCCTTCAGCAGGGATTGCCCTTTGTCAGCTGCGGGCTTCTGGGACACCCTTTCTTCCCCTTCATTCCTTCCTGCTTCCCCCAAAGTGGTTCCTTCTGAGAACTTCCCACCATGTTGAAGAACTGTGCTGCTCCTCTGGTCCCAACTGAAGTCAGAGGACCTGGACCTGGATCCTGACTCTGTTTCTTTTCTTTTTCTTTTTCTTTTTTCTTTTTGCTAGGCAGTGGGGTTAAGCAACTTGCCCAGGGTCACACAGCTATTAAATGTCAAGTGTCTGAGGTCAGATTTGAACTCAGGTCCTCCTGACTCCAGGGCCACTGTGCCACCTAGCTGCCCCTCTGTTTCTTTTCTTGATGATGTTGGGCAAATCAGCTCTGAGCCTCAGTTTACTCTCCTGTAAAATGAGGGGGTTGGACCAAATGATCTGTCAAGTGCCTTCTCTAGCACTCAGTCTGGCCATCCTCCAGGAGTGGTTGGGTACGTAGGTGATGAGAAAGCAGAGACCAAGTCCAGCTGGGGTAGGCAGCAGGTGACTTTCTTTGTTCAGCCCTTTCCCTTTTTTGGTGTGTGGGTTAATCCCTGAAAGTTTGTTGTCTCAGACTGGGCCCCTAGGCCAGAGGTGTCAAACTCACAGATTAAATTGTAATTGGGAAATGTTTAACAAAATAATTAAAAATATAATGCAAAATAGATGATGTTAATTTGTAATTTTCTAAGTCAGAGGCATCTGTTTCAAATTGAGTTGGACACCGCTGCTCTGGGCTCCACTTTAGCTGCTATATGGCCAAAGAATGTAATTAGGGAGGCAGAGCTACTGATGGGGAAAGTTCATGTTCAGTATTCTGAAACAAAATGGAAAAAAATGGGTGTTACTGATAATCTGTAAACATTGGAGGGCAGACACTGCTGTCACTCTTTCTAGCCAGCTCAGTGCTTCTTTGCCAAAGAATATATGTTGGAAAATGTAAAGAACATGCCAGGATTCAGGGGACTCTGCTGACACTTAGATTTTATGTCTGTGAGTGTTTCGTATAGCTCTTATTTGACTAATTGTAACTCTTTGGGGTTGATGGCTGTGCAGATTTACAGGAATTGATGAAATAAGCATTTATTAAATGCCTGGTGTGTGCCAAGTACCGTGCTAAATCTTGAGAAGAAAACATCGAAACCGGCCCTGCCTTCAGGAGCTCCCGTTCTAATAGGAGCGAAGCAGAGTGGCCAAGGAAGGACATTTTGGGTTTGAAAGTCGTGGTGAAGATGAGTTGAGCCGCAGGGTCATAGAGTGACTCCCTGCAGCATCGATTTGGTTATGGTCAGAACTAGAAAGAGGGAGGGGGCACGAGTGTGGTGGCTTGGTGGATAGCAAGTGAAGCTTGGGGTCATTGGCTGCCTAGAGAGGTGTGGACACAGGCATACCTGGAGGGGGCGGCATCAATCGTTTGTTTCTCTTTTGTTTGTTTAACTAAAGGAACAGTTTCGTGGAGGTAATATATAATAATTAATTTAAAATTTGTGTTCTTAGTTTTTAAAAACAAGAAAACATGAAAGCCAAGACTCTCCTTCCATTTGCACAAGAGTAAAAGACAACAATGAAACTTTGGTCTGACCATTTTGTGGGCCCCTTTTCCTTTCGGAATCAGTGAGGTGCCCAGAACAAAAGCGGAGGCTGGAAAATAAAGGTCTGTTAGCGGCCGCTAGGACTCTCACCACAGGCAAAGCAAGCATCAGACTGTGGCTGTGGCTCCTGGTGGGGGCTGGGCAGCTGGGCCTTGGGGGACTCCCAGAGCGTTTGTTTCCTCTGTCTCCTCGCAGGTGGTGATGGCCCCTCACGAGCCCTTGGTGGTGTTTGTTGACAACCTCATCAAGCTCCTGACTGACTGCAACACTGAAACCTTCCAGAAGATACTGGACATGAAGGTCAGGGCCGGGCGCCCCTCTTGGCTTTCTTTTTTTCCTATTCTTCCCTTCCTTTTCCTCCCTCTTCTTTTCTTCCTTCTCCCTTGCCTGTGCCACAGCTTGGCTGTGTGAGCTAGAGGAAAGAATGCTGGAAGGGGTCATGGCCTTGGGGCCCAAATCCCAGCTGTTACTAGCCTTTGACCTCTGGTGTTAACCTCTCACCCCTCTCATCTCACCTCAGCCTCCTCCTCTGTAAAATGAGGGGATGGGACAGGATTCCTAGCTGCCCGGTAGAAGCTCAGCCCTTTGGAGTGTGCTTAGATCTGAAGGAGGGCCTGAGACTGGCCTAGAACATCCAGGCCAATGGGATTAAGTGACTTGCCCAGAGTCACACAGCTAGGAAGTATTACGTTTCTGAGGCCAGGTTTGAACTCAGGTCCTCCTGAATCCAGGGCTGAACTCAGGTCCTCCTGAATCCAGGGCTGGTGCTCTATCCAGTGCACTACTTAGCTGCCCCACCAGGCCATTTCTTGAACCCACATCCTAGCGCAAGGGCACGTGCTCCTCTCTCAGCAGTGTGGGGACCTCGATGTCATGGGCTCTTTTCTCTCCCCAGGGCCTTAAGAGAAGCGAGCAGAGCAGCATGCTGGAACTTTTCCGCCAGCGGCTCCCCACCCCACCGTCAGCATCAGAGGGTCCCGGCTCCACGTCCCTGACAGCGCCAACACCTGAACAGGAATCATCCCGCATCCGAAAACTGGAGAAACTCATCAAAAAGAGACTCTGAGCAAGCAGGAGAGGGTCCTGGGTCCCCTTTGCCAGAGAGCGGTGCATCTAACACTCAGTAGGCAGCTGTTTTGGAAGACCCTTAGGGCTCCCCTCTCCTCTCCAGCTCTCAGAGCAGCCTCAGCTCCTCATGTTTTCCTCGGAAATTTGGGTTTGTTAATGTACATTTGCCATATTGTGTGGTGACTCCTTCCTTACACTATGAAGCCAGTCTGGTGAGAGAAAAAGAAGAGCGTGGGGTGGGTTCTGTCTTCCACTGCTCAGGACCCTGTTACGAGGCGCTGTTTCAAAACCATCTCTGACCCCTAAAGATAGAATCTTCAGGCAGAGCAAGTGGAAGTTTGCTTGTTATTTTCATCCACCAGCTTCTCACTGTTGTGTCATTTTTAGGGACTCATTGCATGTCACCTCTAGCCATCCCCCTAACTCACCCCAGACCTTCTTCCTTACCTTGAAACTGCCCATTGATAACTCTGCAGTACAGAGCCTGTTTCCTCCTCTCCTTCTAGAATCCTATGTCTAATTAGCCCCCAGGAGCGCTTTGGACCTCCAAGGCCTGAGCATGTGGAATGACAGTTGCTCCTGGGGAGATGCCCGCCCGCCAACAAGCCGGCTCTCCTAGTATATTATGGTTTGCCTGTGCCTGGGTTCACCGCTTGGCCAAGTTACGTCTCTGCTCTTTCCAGCTTTTTCAGCTTAGGATCTGGTTTCTACAGCCTTCTAAGGAAGCTCTCCCTCTGCTCGTGGGCCAGGCCCTTGGAGGCTGAGTGTCTGAGGATATATTGGGGTCATTGTGAGAGCACACAGACATCTGCTTTAGGGAAAGGATTCTGCTCGACATTCTTACTTAGTAGGCTTGCAGAACTGTGTTTCCCATTCCCATTTCTGTGCTCTTCTCCTCTCCCTTTCTCCTTACTCCCTCAGCCCCAGTAGCTCTTGGCTTCTTAGGAGTGGGCTTGGGCTGAGTAGGAGGCAAAACCAGGAATCTCACTTGGTGGATTGAAGCCTATTCAGTGAGACTGTGGGAAAACCACTGTCTCCATCGCTTTTCCATCCCATTCCCCACACCCTCTTAATTCAGATACAGTCCTTATAGCTGTCCATCCTTAAGATGAGTTTGAAGTAGCAGATGTTATATACATACATAACTGGAATGCCATCTTATTTAATTACTGATGAAAACAGCACCAAGGGCTCATGAAGTAAAATATTAGTCTGAAAGAACTGGCTTTTAGGCCTCCTAGCCTGCCCATTGTACCAGCCCCTCCTTGCCCCTAGCAATCCCCATGGACTCTCTCTGACTAATCTGACCTGCTCTTAGAGATAATAACACAATAGCCCTTTGGTTTCCTAGAGAAAAATGATTCCTCATCAATATTAGGAAACCATTTCCTGTGGCCACAGAAAGTGTGAAATGTCTGTAACTACCAGACTTCATTGGAAGCCAATTTGGGGTTAACTCTGAGAAGGATGGTAGGATAAGGTATATTGATCTGTGTCCTTTATTTGTTGTATATAATTCAGAGGGAATGTGAGAAGGAAGGGAGAGATGTGGCCTTTCATTTGCAACAAATCTGATGTCAGCTAGAGGCCAACCTGACTTGTAAAGGAGGGAGAGGGTGAAGAAGAGTTCTGAGAAATTCAGAGAAAACCCGAGTTTGGAAATCAAAAAATAGGCTTTTCTTCTTTTTCCCTGTCTGCTAATCGTTCCATCCCATTCGCCTGTTTCCCTGATTTGTTTCATTGGTCCCAGTTCTGACCTTCTGAATTCATCTCCCTGGTTCTGATCCTTTCTTGCTAATTAAGGGGGCTTTTCTATCCTGGCCCTCTTAAACTGCAGGACATTGATGGGGAGACAGATGAAAAATTGGGATTTTGGAGAGTATTTATAATTTGATTTTTACATAAAGGCCAGGGAAACAGAAGACTGCTGTGGGACTGACCTAGCAGTGGACGCATTTCAGTGGTGTTAGGCCAGTAACAGGGCTGGTTTTGGAAAGGTAATTCAGCTGACATCAACTGAATTTACTTCTTCCTTTCTTGGGAGTCGATAGCATCTCCCTTCCACCCTTTCCCACCATATTTGGGATGGTTGGTTTGAATTCAGTCCATCTCTGATTCTCTTCTGTGTGCAGTTGGTTTCTTCAGCTAGCTGGCTCAGCAGGTTGTGAAAGTCCCATTTCTCCATTCAGTGAGGCCGTTTCGTTCCCACTGGTCCCTTTCTGGGATGATCTGCCGAGATGCATTTACTCCTCAGTGCCCTGGGTCTCCAGCACCTCCTCTCTGATGGCCAATAAGAGTCTGTAGGTATCAGATGAAGTGCTGCGCTCCCGGGGCTGAACACTACAGATGGGCTTTGTGTCATGGTGGTGTGGAGAGACCTCTTTAAACAGATATCTCACTGGCTTTTTAACTAAAATGTATTTATTGTATATTAGAGGTAGTTCAGACATCACAAAAAAATATTCTTTCCTGATTGCTCGCCGCTTAAATTTACAGTTTACGTCGATGTTGTGGACCATGCCTGGAGCCTGACTTTTTCCACAGACTAGGCTCTTGAACTTTGGATGCTCAAGCCCAGAACAGTAGGTCAGCAGCATTGCCCTTATGTCTGAGCAACCTGCTGACGAGAGCATCCGTTGGCAGCTTTGTTGTTTGGTTAGCGCTGAATGGGTGCCTGCTCTTCTCCACTTCCCAGATCCTTTAGGGAAGAAAGGAAATCCTGAACACTTGAAAGTGGTTAAAGCCAAATATCTGCCTATAATGCTGGTCATTTACAGTCCCCCAAAAGGGATGCCTTCTGTGGGTGTTCTTCCATTCGGGCTGGATTAGTGCTTTGTTCTTTCATTTGGATTTATTTAGAGTGGAAAATCGATAAACCTCAGCTGAGCAGAAAGAGCCTAGGCTGGAGAAGTCAGACTGGGGACATTATCTATAGCACGACATCGGAACTGATGAATGTGGGATCCTGCATTAAAAAATAGTCGTGGGGAGTTCTAGCCTCCACTTTCAACTTCAGAATGAGTTAGACGGGGTCTTGTTTTTCGCCACCCCAAAACAGCCAACCAGGCTTCCTGGTCTGCACATCAGCCACTGAGCAGCTGCTTCGCTCTGCCTCCCTTGCTGCTTTCTCACGTGCAGTCAGTTCATTTGAACGAGCTCACTAGCAGACATTCTCCCAAAGACAAGCGTGGCTAGCCCCGGAATGATCCAGCAGATTATTGGCCAGTCAGCCACAGGAGCCAGCAAACTCCGCCAGATGTTGGTACTTATATCATGGTTTGTATTGAAATGCTGTAGATACACTATCCACCTTGCCTCATAGAACCAGGCTGCTTGAAGGGTGAAGGCGGATGGTTTGTGTGTCTTGTTCTGGTCGGGATCTTTACTCAAAACGAGCACGGTGGTGGTAAGAGAGTAGAGCTGAATACCGAATTCACAGGCATATTGGAAAGCCAGTCGACATAAAGGACGTGTGTGTCTTTTTTATGTAAAATAATTTCCTATTTCCTCGTATTTATCAAACTGGGTGCTTCTGGAGCCCTCGAATTGGACACCTAAGTAAGATGTAAATTTCCTTTCAATAAAAGGATGGTGTTTTTTTTCTCGTAAATGTCTTTCATGTTCCCCATCTGGAAGTGATTTCTTGGTGTATATTGGACCGTGACACTGTAGCTAATTAAATCATTATTGTATGTCATTTGCTAGAATGAGTTTCATTACTGTTGACAGAAAGCAGAGTGGACAGCAGGAAAGAGAATCATCAGGAAACCATGCAGGCGCCGTGCTCATCTCTCTCATTGTCTGGGTTCTCCCCCCAGAGCTGGTTCATCCCTTCCCTGAGGTCTTCCGACATACTGAGGGTAGTGCACAGGAATACAGCGTGGTGTTAAAATATTTGTCTAGCAAAAAGTCAGATTAGCAAGCATTTAGTAAGCACCTACTATGTGCCGGTCTTGACTTTTGTCTCACTAATGGACTTCGGTGACTGGAAGAAGCGAAGCTAGTGACTTCTCACAGCTCGGCCTCACTTGCGCATGTGCGCGCGCACACACACACACACACACACACACACACACACACACACACACACGCACACGCACACGAGAGTTAAGACCTCACCCACGATGTCATCGGCCCTTTTCAAAAACGAAGGATGAGTAACAACAGCTGTGTGCCAGGCACTGTGCTAAGTGCTGGGGATACAAAGAGAGACAAAAGAGAATCCTGCTCTCCCAGTCTGGTGCAGACAGAGATCCACCAAGAAGCTAAAGGCAAGATAAATCGGGGGCTGTCTCAGAGCGTGGGCACTGAGACTAAGGAGCACTTGAAAAGACTTCCTGTGGTGGGTAGGGATTTGGCTGGGGCTTGGAGGAAGCCAGGGAAACCTGTGTGGCATGACTGAGTCCAGAGCTGCGGAAGGGGCCGTAACCTGGCCCCTCCCTACCATTCCAGGTTGGGAAGGGCTGTAGAAGGCAAACAGGATTCTGTGTTTGATTCTAGAGATGATAGGAAGTCCATGGAGCTTATTCAGTGAGCGGGGGAAGGGTATGTATGACTTGTACTCTGTGAAGATTGGTGTGTTGGCTGAAAGGACACACTGGAAGGAGGGAAACCAAGCGGCAGGCATGTATAGTATAGTCCAGGCATGAGGTGAGGAGGGCCTGCACAAAAGTGCTTGTAGTGTCAGAGGACAGAAGGGGACATAGTCAAGAGATGACACGAAGGTAGAAATATCAGGCCTCGGCAACAGTTTGGATAGAAGAGTTGAGAATGAGGCGTCTAGGAGGGTACGTAGGTTGTGAGCCTGAGCGATGCCCTGGACAGCGACAGGCAGATTTGGAAGAGGGGAGGTTTTGGAGGGAAAGATAAGTCCAGTTTTAGACATAGTGAGATGAAGATGTCTATGGGACGTCCGTTTTGAGATGTCCAATAATAGTTGGAAGATGTGAGCCTGGAGGTCAGGAGAGAGGCTAGGGCTAGACAGATCTGCCAGTCTGCATCAAGATCCTAATTGAATCTGTGGAAGCTGATAAAATCATCAAGCAAAAGGCTTGGGAACAAAATAGAAGGGGAATGGAAGAGGGGCCAGGACAGAGCTTTGGGGGATACCTGCATTGGGTGGGCATGACCTAGATAGAGATCCAGCAAAGGAGACTGAGAGGGAGCAAACTGAGGAGGAGAAATGGGAGAGCTATGCCCTGAAAGTCTAGAGAGATTATCAAGGAAGAGAAAGTAATCAACAGTGACAAAGGTCAAGGAGAATGAGGATAGAGAAAAGGCCTTTGGATGGAACAATTAAGACCAAAGAGACTAAGAAGAAAAGAAGTGATTATGGAAGACCTTGGAATGATGCGGACGCCTTGCCCTCCCTTCCACGTGTTCGCAGATTGGTCAGCCACTGGCTTTGTCCTTTCCCAGTAGTTTGAGTTTCTCTTTGGCTGGCTTTCCCTCCAGATTTCTGTTCAGGAAACCAGCGAACTCTTGCAAACTGTGTTTATGTTTGGAGCCATTTGATTGGTTACCACAAGAATTTACATAAGGAAGCTCATTCTGTCTCTTCAGTAGCTGCTTGGTCATTGTGGAGTTTCTTGTTTTATTTAATGAGGAGCTTATAGGAGACCTTGAAGTGTCCTTTGATGATGAAGAAGTGAATCCTTTTTAGCAGAATTTTTGAGATCATTTTCTCTTTATTTATTTTCATCTCGTACTCCCTCTTAACAAGGACTACAGAATCTCCCGGTATTTTCAGTATTGCGAGGACCTTAGAGGTCATCTCTAATCGTGCCCTGAACTCGAATCACATCTACGGTGGCCTTCAGGGTGGTCATGCAACCTTTGCCTAAATCCCTCTGGTCAAGAGGAACCACCCTCCAAACAAGCCCATTACACTTTTAAGTGTTTCAGATCACAGGGAAGATTTTCATTATATAAGACTGTCATTGTATATAGTGTACTTGTGCAGGCCAGCAGGAGCAAGGCCTGGCCTTCTGGACTTTGTTACAGAAATCTGCCTCCCTGAAGCTTGGGAATGTCTCCTAAGATCATAGCATTTGGGGAGGTGGCACACAGATGAACTCCTTGGTCACCTAATCAATTTACCTGCTATTGGAAATACTTGAGTATTTCAATTTTAGCAATGCAATTATTTCTGAAGAGAACCATTTTGTTTTATAAATCCGTGAGGGGGTACCATGCTTTCCAAAAATATAGGGTATGTGAGGGAGAGAGAGAGAGAGAGAGAGAGAGAGAGAGAGAGAGAGAGAGAGAGAGAGAGAGAGAGAGAGAGAGAGAAAGAGAGAGAGAGAGAGAGAAGAGAGAGAGAGAGAGAGAGAGAGAGAGAGAGAGAGAGAGAGAGAGAGAGTGTGTATGTGTGAGAGAGAGACAGAGAGAGAGAGAGACAGACAGAGAAACAGAAAGAGACAGGAAGACATAGAGACTTGTCTAATGCTCCAGTGTGGCTCCATTGTAAGGAGAAGGTGCTCTTTGTTCTGGGACTTGTTCTGTGAGAGCTGGGGAATGTCCAAGCCAGCCTGCAGTCTCCTAGAACATGGCAGTAGGCTTGTTCCTGGAACTGCTTTGTCAAAATGACCCAAGTAAAGAAGCCCAGTGTCCCGTTGTGCTTCCTGAATAAATGTTCCCTCTTCAGCAAGAATTTGAAGATCTAATCTTTCTTTGCCTTTTTTGGGCATGATTACAAAATCAGTCTTACTCGAGGGAGACAGGTTCCAAAAGCCCCTTTGAATCGTGTATTCTCCTGGCCCTGCCAGCTGCTGTTTCCGTAGCATTTAGGGAGAAAACCTGTTAAGGCCAAGAAGTGAACTTTTCCCCCGACTTCGGTTGGCCAGTGTCAGTGTTGTGGAAAGTGTGGCACATTTCCTCGGAATGCCGATTGTAGGGGTTGCCAGGGGCCTCTTTCCAGAGCTCACTTTGCATGGTGTCTGGTGGCCTTGGAGGACAGCCTCTGCCTGTGTCTGCTTCTCAGGGCGACAGAGCCCCTTCTGACTGCGGCTGGGCCCGGGGCCCTATGTGCCTGGGGAGATGAGACAGAGCAGATTTTTCTGGGTCAAGTAGCCCAGACTAGGAAGCTGGGAGCTCTCGGGCTTCCACAGTTCCTTTGTAGTGTCTCCTCAAAGCACCTTCAGCTTTTCCCCAAGCCCATCCAGCTGAATAGCCCATATCTGGTCATTTCCCCATTTGGGGAAGGGGGAGGGTTGATTCAAAGCATTTATTATCCTGGAGGATAATAAGGAAAAAAATAGGTTTGAGAAATCTGCCCTTATGAAGATAACTC